ATCTGTACACCAACTGATCTGGTGTCTAGTTTCATCCTGCTGACATCTACGTGAGCATCCACCCACAGCATCACTGGATCAGTTTACTCCACTTCTATTTAAAATCTGAAAAAAGATGGCTGCTACATTAACTTACCTGAATCAGCAGCCTTCGCTTCTAGGTTAGATGGTCCACTTCATTCCAATTTCTCTCACCCTGACAACTGCACTTTCAGGAGTCCCCCAAACACCATTACAATTGAAGCATGTGGAATACAGAAATAGTCATTTATGCAGCGCATGTTATACCTTTATGGCTCTGATACAAATGATTAAGTGTGAAGTAATGTAGAAAGGAAATAAGAAAATCCCACACCCTTTTCGTTACTTACAAAAAAAAGCACAACAGATAGAACTACATATCAAAGTAAATGTAACAAGTCATCCCTAGCCATACTTGAATTACTTCAGTTAGTGATGAAGCAGCAGAAGCCTAGAGCAGCTGTTGTCGTGTCTCAAGGCACAGCAGTCTTTATCACAACATCTGTGCAGCTTCACTCTGCCCATTAGAGGCCATATAGTAAATATGGAGATAATCAGTTTTATCTGTTACACAACCAACAAACAAAGAAAATTTCAACAGCTTAGTTGCAAACTGGTGCAAATAGCTACTGTATCAATTTGCCGAATTGTTGCCCATGTGCATTTTATTGTACGCGGAAAACTACAAGTTTGGTTCAGTACCAATCCTGTCACTAAATCAAGTTGAAATAGATGGTGATTTATTTTGCTGAAAGCATTTAGTTTTAAAACAAGACTTTGAAAGGTTTCCGCTACTCAGCCTTGGAGTCATTTCAACAGAGCGGAGAATGTGCTTTGGAGTTCCATAGAAATAAGGGATTCCTTTGAAGCCTGCTCGGCGTGTTGTTAGTAGTATGTCCTCTAGCTAACTGTTGCTATTATGCCCCCAGCCCCCACACACAACATCCAGCTGCTGAGTATTTGTGACCTTTTGGTTAAATAATGAGAAGAGACTGTACAATTAAATAAAGTAGTTCACAAACAGTCTCGAAAGTGACACGTCTCACTGATCTCAATGATTGGGGTTATTATAATATTATTATTATAAGGAGATTTTGCTGCCGTACATCACCCCACTTTGGATGCTCTATTCTAATAATAATTTAGCAATAATTTGGTCACTTAATCCACAATTGTTTGTGGGACTCTGTGGTGTGTAATTGGCTGCCGCATTTCGCCCACAGTCAATTTACTTTACAGTATATTCTGTGAAGCGCTTTGAGATGTCTAGAAGATGTGATAAAGTTTCCTTCTACTTCACGCATCACAAATTCTACTTCACGCTGAGGCAAATTCTTTACTGAGGGAAAAAAATTGCATCTTACTGATGCAAATAACATCACGATAATACAAGGCTAATGTGGAAGAAGGAAACATGGAAGAACATGTTTGTGCTGTACATGAGCAAAGAAACAGACACAGCAAGTTCTTACACCCATTTACAAATGGGGAGAAGAGAGACCACACAAGCAGAATGACACCATGATGGTATTCTTGCCCATTCAGTGTAAACAAGACCCTTCAAGTTGTGTCATGTTCATATGTTGACATGGTTCAGGTTGATCCTTAGGGAAAAACATACAATTGGGGTTCTTTCTGGCTAGCTGGGTAAAGATGGGTCAAATGGCTGACCAAGATATTGAGTTATACGTTATAAGACTATGTTAGAGCCCTGTTACAATACGTTAATTTGGGTCCATAAAATCCCAAACAGCGTTATAATGGGGTGCAATTATCGTCACCGTTTCAGCATTCATTGTCCATGCATGTAGAAAGCTGGGTTAATTTCAAAATAGCTTTTTGCACGTTAGAAATAACCGGTCATCGGGTTTCTGCCTCTTGTGCTTTGTGGCAGAAAGTAATATTGGTGGCGACCTGATGACCCAGAAGTTAACAAGAAGGAAAAATGACCTGTATACAGCGCCTTTCACATCCCAAGCCGAGACTGATGGTCTACATGACAGATTCATTTAAATGCTTGTGAAATGAGTTGAGGCTAACTTATGCAAGGAGCAAGTTTCATTTTTATTCTATTTAATCTGGTCAATGTCCCAGTGATATCCTAAAGTTACCATGCTCTACAGCTGAGGCCTAAGGATTTCCTAAATATCTAACCTAGCTCAGATAGGTCTCGATCAAACAAAATGCAACCCAGTTAGTTGCAGTGGAGCAGTGGGGTGGGAAGAATTCTATCACCTTTATATCTGCCAAGGTGAAGGATAATGGAGGAAACATCATTTATAGGCTATACAGATGTGTTGTCTTCTTTGTCCAATGTTCTCCCCTTCTGCTCTTCAGATAATCTCATGGAAGGATACAGATCCAGAGGTGCCAGCAGCCCTCCAACAATTGGATCAAATTCTTCATACACCTTTACATTATTCACCAAATGGAGGGAGGAGAGGAGTGAAATTGCTGCCAACTTCCACAGATATTCTCCCTGGCAGGGGCCATGGACAGTGATCAGAAATAGAAATAGCTCACTAGTGCAGAAGGTCATTGTAACTGCCATGACGCTGAACCCTAGCTGATGTGTTCAACAACAACTTGCATTTATTTTGCACCCCCACGCAGAGTAGCGTCCCAGAGCGTTTCTCCCTTCTCCAGCCCAAGGAACCTTAGGCAAATTGCAACACCCCAGATGTCGCCTAAACTAATATCAGTTAAATTAGCACAGATAAGCTATTGAGCCCGAGACTTTGTATCTTAGTTTTATTCAATATCTCACCAGGCAGTGCATTTACCCACTGAGGTATTCGGGCAACTTAACATATAAAGTTTCCATATTTCTTCTTTACAATGATCACCTGCAGAAGGCGAGGGCAATGAATCTGAGATATCGGTTCGATCTTTGAGTGCTGCAGATGATACCAGTCATTTCAATCTTGCTGCTTCTATTCCAGCAAAACACATGGACCACAGCAAATGTTTATTGTTGTCCTTTTTCAAAAATCAACACCAAAAAGCAGAGCTGATTTCTGATGTCTGCTGAGAAGTATTGTGTCTGCTGTCTACCCTAAGCTAGCACAAAGTTATATTATATTTAGATTTAACAAACAACCATTCCAAAGCCCAAACATAAGATTGTGCTGCTGCTATTAATTTTGCCTGCCTCGAAAATGAGATTACAAGCCTGCGGCGATCTGTTAATAAAACAAAAGTAATTCATGAAAAAATTATCAAACCTAATTGGCAGTTATTGAAGGGACATAAACACCATTGAAAGATTGTTGGGAAAGATTTTCTAATGTTGTGTTAGCATATAGTGCGGCAATATAATCTGGATATAAAAATAACAAATTATTGCTTTGTGAGGTCCATTTTTTTACGTGCTTTCTCCATCCCCAATACAACGACAAAGCCGCTCTTCCTCTAAATTAGATAGCTGGTGTTCACGAGGAGGAACACTTTCAATGTAATTTTCTTGCCTTGCAGATATTGTTAATAAGCATTCAGAAATAAACTTTACAATGCGCTTTGAAGCTCCATCAAATGGTGCTAAGAAGCAGTTACTGAGCTTAGTAACCCAGTTCCAGGAAGACACCAGTAAAAACACCATGAGGAGGTGAGAGTAAAAAAAGGAGTAGCAATAACAACAAATTATATTTATACAGCACCTTCCACATTGGGAGGACGTTCCAAAGCACTTGACAGTCAAGGAGGACAGTCATTACTATCCACGCTCATGCACCTCCTATAGGTAAGGTCAAGAATAGTATCATAACACTGCAAGAGGTAGGGAAAAAATACTTACTTGCCCACCCCACTCCCCCACCCACCCAAGGAGGATACGATTTGAATAAAGAAGGCCTTTCAGACCATTTGATGAAAAAATTAGCAAACCTAATTAACAGCCATTGAAGGGACATAAACACCACAGAAAAACTGTTGGGGAAGATTTTCTAATGTTGTGTTAGCATATGGTATGGCCACCATACACCCATCTTCCAGAATACCCAAACTTACATCGCACCCCATTATAGCATCAAGCTGTTTCCTAAATGAGTCCAACGTCCTGGCCTCAACAACCTTCCCTGGAAACCAGTTCCAATGGCTAATTACTCTTTGTGTAAAGAAATATTTCCTGGTGTCTGTTGTGAAACTGCCCGTTACAATCTTGAATCTGTGTCTTTTACAGTCCTGGCATATTCTGAAGGCATTGTTTTGGATATACTTTCTCAATTCCATTTAAAATCGTATCCATCTCTAAAAGGTGAGACATATCTTGGAAGGCCCTCTACATCCTTCAGTTAGAGATTTTCAAGTCCACGTCCTTTCATTACCCTTTACACAGTTTGTGAAGCAGTCTCTCATATTGTACTTTATCGAATGCCTTTTGGAAGTCTAGGTGCACTACGTCACACGGTTTCCTTTAGTCAATGCAGTCTTGTTTCGGTCTGAGAGTAACTTCATGATCATAAATGGTTGCTGAATGAATAAATAACAGCATATACAATACTGCTTACTGTACCAACTAGCGCTAAACATGGAGAAAGACAGGCCATAGCATAAGTCCCTATTCTATACAAAACAGAATAAAACTGAAGACCATTTCATTTCAACATCAAAATAGCTAAACCATGGTCTGATTCGTTCCTCCCATCTTTCAAACACAGTGCAACAATTTGCTGCCTTCTCTTAAAACATGGCATGGGGGGGGGGTGGCAGCACAGCCCATAGAAGCGCATTTTGATATTCAATAGCCCAATAAATATGGTCCATTCCACAGAAATGTATACCACTGCCTATTACATTAGCTTTTACTGAAAACTGTGATTCAAAGCAATACTGAATTGTGACCAGTGGCTTCAAGGTAAACAACTGCTAAATGTACTGTAGCTGTGTCTACAGTTGCAGTGCTGTCTCACTAAAACTGTCGCAAACACAGTGTTTGCGACTACGTAGACCTGCCAATAAGTATTTCAGCGGAAAGTACTCACGTTTTGTAGGAAGGTCGAAGCCCGGTGTTATCTTGGCTTCCCCAGTGTTACAGCCATTAAGCTGACGACACGCTGACAGCAATTTCGGCCCTGCAGCTCTGTGGATACAGCCGTCAACTAAAAGAAAGGGAAAGAAAAAGTGACATTATTCATCTCAACTACTTAGACAACACTCTTGCAAACTAGGTTTATTTCAGTGATCTTTGGTACTGTAGGGTACTGCTTAGAGCGCTCGCCTCGCAAGCGAGAGGATCTGGGTTCGATTCCCGGGCAGGACAAAACCTAAGACAAGTTTCCTTACTCTACACATGTCTGTTTACCTAGCAGTAAGTAGAGGCACGGTTGTTAATCGATTGCTGGATTGCTTTCCAAGGGTAATAAACCCTTCAAAAAAATGAGCGACTATTTGTGGGTCACTGCTGTGCGTAATTAGTTGCCGGGTTTCTTCCACAAAACAGTCTTTACAATATATTTGTGAAGCACTTTGAGACATCTGAACACAATAGGCACTATATCAAATGCAAGGATTATTATTATTACTATAAAGAGGAACTGTCTATGGATGAAAGAAGGAGGTACCTCTGATATATGGTGGAACGCACAAAAACACAAATAAACAGACCCAACGTAATGACACCAAGAATAGGATGAAGGAAGTGCTATGGCTCACCAGAATGTCTCCATTCATCACTGTTTTACTCAGATAATGAAAAAATAATTATCACAATAGCCCAAGAACATAAGCTTGGTTTGGATGAAGAAAGCTTTTCTGCCAATCTGTTTCTAGTCATTAATTACCATCTAAGAAAAACCTCCGGAATCTGTCCTGAAATTTACCTTCGCATCTCTAAAGCTGTGTTCTCTTCCTCCCCAAGAAAATGTTTTGGGGCTCAGTTAACACATGCGGAAACCCATCACCCTGCATAAGAGTATCCAAACCAAACTGAGAATTTCATACATCCTATCTACACATGGAAATTCCAGTTAGGCAGTGCTACCTACTATTCAAAAGAAGGTGTTCGGGAGGGGGTGTAAAACCTAACATCACGTTTTATGCAGCCACAGGGTTTAAACTTTTAACTATCCTAGGACATGGACATTTCCAGATTTGTAGTAGATTTGCCACATTTCCAGATTTGCATTTCAGTAGTTAAACATTTTTTATTTTTCATGGTCAGCGTAAAATAACTCCATGGTTCTTCTGAAGTTTGTCAAAATATTATTGATAACTTGTCTAATTTCAGACCAGTAACTGAACACAATTCATAAGAGAATAATAGTTCATATTTACATTGATATTTACATAACTTGTGAAAACTGAATTAAACGATTAGATAGTGAAGTGCTGTAAACAAATCGAAATTACTAAAAATTCCACTCATTTAATCTGTCACATAATAGACCTGATTATTGCATGGAGGTTCAAAACTGTAACCAAATGCTCAATAACCTGCAAACCAGCAGTACTTTTTTTCACAAACTGTATCAGACAACTACATTTTGTAGATACGTTTTTCATGCACTACACATGCACACGCGCATTCACACACATGCACTCACAAGAAATACCGAGCTGAAGGTAAAAAAATAGACACACACAAGCACACTGAATACCAGCAAAAAGTGAAAAAATACAGACACGCATAGAATTATAGAGTTAGATAGATTGTGATAGGAAGACGCGATAAAGAGCTATATCAAATGTAATGATTATTTACTTTATTTATTGTTACAGCACAGAAACTGGCAATTTGGCTGAAATAAACCTCGGCTTGTTTATACTCCATTTGAGCCACTACCCCTCCTAATCCCAACGCCCATACTTCTCGAGTCCCCTCTCCTCTCTCTCACTTACACACAATACGGTTTCCATTTATATAGAATCTTTCATGTCGGGAGGATGTTTCAAAGTGCTTCACTGCGCTGATGGGCACTCGAGCTGCGGGTGGGAGGCAAGAGTGTGTGTATGGATGGGGGGGTGAGGGGAAAACTTAATGTCAGGTTTAAAGTGATGAAATACAGACAAACATACACTCATAAGTCTCCTAAAGTTTCATGCAAGTCCTTTGAGGTTACTAGCTACCAGCTACTGTTCTCTGTATTATAATAATAATAATCCTTGCAGTTGATATAGCTCCTTATCAGGTCTTTGATACGTCTCAAAGCACTGTAAAGAATATACTGTAAAGTGAATTGACTGTGTATTTTGTGGGTGAAATGTGACAGTCATTTGCGCACAGCAGTGTCCCACAAACAGTCATGGATTGAGTGACCAAATTATTATTTTTTAAGGGATTTTTACCCCCTGGAAAGCGATCCAACAACCGAGTTCCTACTTACTGCGAGTTAAGCAGAGGCCTTCCCGGCACCTCCCTCCCCAACAGAGGAATAACGAAACTTGAACAAAGTTTCGCCCTGCCTTGGAATCAAACCTGGGTCCTCTCACTTTTGAGGCGTGTGCTCTAACCACTAAACTACAGGGCTCCATGAAAGTATCCACATTAATTTTTACAAAAATCTTACGAAGTGCTTCACAGAATATATTGTAAAGTGGTTTGACTGTATATTTTGTGACTGTGTTGATAATCTACAGCCCCATGATACTTACCAAGCAGCAGAGTTTATTTCACAATAATATATTCATATATACTAAAAAATTATTAATGTATAACTGATTAGAGCATGTGATGCAACACTCTGAGGAATTGGTTCCCTGTCAATGTGGGCGAGATGCCAAAGTTTCAATGGATGGTGTATTTGCTCATTCAAGTGTCTGTCAAACAAGCAGAGACTACTGCGTTTTTACTTGTACTTTACTTGTAGTAAAACGACTTCATTATATTTTGGGTTTAGATTTAGAAATTAATGAAGTGTGAAGTAGGAAATGCCCAGATGTGCTAGAGGTGCCCTTACAGTATTCTCAATGTCTACAAACATGAAGCTGAGTCACACATTTGACCTCAAGCTCACAGCATTCAACTTACTGTTAAGGAGATATGCAGCTAGTTGCTAAACAAAATGTTCAGGTAACTTGGTGCAATCCCCTAGTGCTTCACAGAGGCTGGTGCTGAGAATGGTGTCTTGAAACACTGGTCCACGCCTTGAAACACTGGTCCACGCCCTTTTCACCTCAAGGCTGGACTATGGGAACTCTCTCCTCGCCGGCCTTCCCGGCACCTCCCTCCACAAGCTGCAGGTCATTCAGAACTCTGCAGCTCGTGTACTGTCCCGCACCAGGCTTCGGGACCACATCACTCCCACCCTCGCTCGCCTCCACTGGCTCCCCATCCCCCAGAGGATCGAATTCAAGATCCTCATCCTCACCTACAAGGCCATTCACGGCCTCGCTCCCTCCTACCTCTCCGACCTACTATCCCCCTATCTACCCGCCCATACTCTCCGTTCCTCTGGCTCTGGTCTGCTCCACATCCCCCGCCCCAACCGCCCTACCATCGGTGGTTGGCCTTCAGCCTCTCAGCCCCTCGGCTCTGGAACTCTATTCCCCAGTGCCTTCGCCGCCTCCTCCCTTTCCTCCTTCAAGGCCGGTCTCAAGACCTTTCTCTTCGACCGTGCCTTCAGCTCCCCTCTCGACTCTCTACCCCCTCCTCGCTCCCTCCCTTCCCTCCCCTCACCCTGACCATTTCCCCCCTGCTCGGGTCCTGACCCAACTGTCCAGCGCCTTGGGATGTCCTCCCAAGGTGAAAGGTGCTCTATAAATGAAATCTTGTTGTTGTTGTTGAGTGTTGTGCCTATATTCTGGTCATTCTTGATACTTTAGGAGTTTCCGTAGAGAATAAGTGTTGGGACCAAAGTCTCACAAGTTGGAGGTGTATACAAAGAATTCCTTTCAGAAAATGTGAGAGGATTTTTTGCGGGTAGAGCATTTTTCCAACATTAGGATCAGACTTGTTACACTCGGATGCTTCCAATGCAGAACGCCTACTTAAATGCAACATGAATTGCACAACCATTTATTGGGAAACCACAAGCATGAAATGAGATGTTGTATCATCTTGTGTTTGCAACAGATTCCGTGTTATTTTTTTCTTGGGGAAAAAAAACAGTGGAGCTTGATCTGAATAGTTGCCACAAATCAGCAGTAATCATAGCCTCGATGTTACAGTCTATTCGTGGCTCACTTTCAGATTACCAGTTGAATCATGTTTTTTATTCATGATAGAACTACTGCAAATGATCAAGCCATAAAGACAATATTTCTCTCTGTCCGACTACTTGGAAATATAATTTCACTTAATCAACATCTGCATTAAAAGTACACCATTAAAAACAGTATTTCTTGCTCCCATTGCTGTAATCGTGATTAAAGAACATTTGGAATGGAAAAAAATATCTCTTTCTACCTACCTTATAAGGTGTAGACACATTTAGAAGCCCATTTGTTTTTTCAAACTTCCAAAATGTACATTTTAAATTTTTTTTAAAAAATTACAAATAGGCTTCATTATATTGTGATGATAATAACAATAATAATCCTTACATGTCATATAGCACCTTTCGCATCAGGAATACATCTGCTAAGCGAATCACAGGATTTACTGTAAAGTGTAGTGACTGTATTTTTTGTGGGCAAACAATGTTCACAGAATTCAAAAATCTTTTTGTAAAAAATTTCACTCCTAGCAACTCCTAATATACAGTATCCAGGGCTTGGCTACTAATATGAGTTTACATAGCACTCCGTTTAGTATTCAGGGATGCTACCCTATGTGAAGGTGTCAATGTAAAGGCAAATTGTTGTTCCATACAGACCTAAGAGGCTTATAGTTCTAAATTCTATCACAGTGGTCTATTATCTGAGTGTCGTAAACCATGTGTAAACATGTGGACAAGACAAATTACAGATGCTCTCGATTAAGCCCTTGACAACTAAGTGAAACAATTACAGCTGATTTTGGCAGATGTAAAAATGCAATCGATGTTGACTCACTCGACTGACTTGCTGTTTCAAGTTACTTTATCTTAGTTTTGCACAGCAAAAGTGGTAAATTGTAGACCCAAATCAACATCCTACAACAGTAAAACACACAGAAGTCGTATCAGTCGGACCCATAACATTTAATATGACTTTCACGAAGTCCAAACTGCAGGTAAGCTGT